CCCTGGGCATGCCTGTGTCTGTTATCTGTTATCCGTTTACTTGTGAGCGCGGCAGTGTGACCGTTTCTATGTGTTTGTTTTGCTGTGTGCTTGAGTTTGAGTTTGTGTGAGTGCTTTTTGGGGCCAATGTACTCGGAGTTCAGTGCATTGCACTCTATGCCGTCGAAATGATACGCCCGTGTGTGCGTATGTGTGTGCGCGCTTTTTGTGCAGTGGGCGCATTTGCACGATATGCGTGCAGACTTGTAGCTTATGTTAATAGTTTAATTATTCATATTGAGATTTTTTATTATTATTGTCAATTTATGAAAGTAATTCATTAAGTAAAATTAAATCATCTCAAATTACCAAATACAAAATATACAAAATTAATTTCGTTATCATTTTCAATTTTTGTACATATTACCGACTGTGTTTACAAATTATTATTAACATTATGTAAATAGAATGTCTGTCTGATTCTGCAGTAAAAGATAGTCTATCATCTATAAATAACTATGGCCAGAAATCGATCGATTGATTCATTCTTCTAGATTCGACAACATCGACAGCAATTGCACCAGCAAACTTTGTTCGCACTGAAGAAACTACTTCTGGCAGTGTACTAAAGCTGCAGAGTCTTCCAAAACCCTCCAACTCGATTGCACCTGAAACTGTGCCCAAATGGGTCCTCGACATCACGTCATAGACAGCGGAAAAACAAATAGGTCCGCATTATGAGCGGACATAGCGGATGGGGTAAATATCTCCAGTACCTCTGATACTTGCTGTCGATGGGCTTTACTTTCAGTCTCAGTCTCCTGCACTTATCCATATGTGATAAATATCCAAATAAAGCACCTACAATTTAAATATAAATTTTTGTTCAATTTAAAAAACTGTACTGAATGAAGAAACGTTAACAAAACTAAGAAAATTTCCGATATATAGACATTGACGTATACGACGAGGGTAGTCTCTAAAATGTGAACTAAAGAAAATGTATGTATATATACATTTGTTCAAAAGTAATTTCAATTATTCATAAATAGGAAAAAATAAATAAATGAATAAATTCCTGTTACAATTTTCGTTATTATATATGTATGTGCTATAACGTAAGGTTTTTAAGAAGCCCTCGGTTAATATGTGGCTCTTGCCTACTTCTTACTGGGTTGTTCGTTTTGATCTAAGCTTGCCATTGTGCAATATTATCCTTAGATGTACTGTTGAATTATTTTTACTCAGTGAACTTGAGTGGAAACTAACTCTAAATAGAGCTCATAGCCTATTCGCCATTTTGAGTGAAATGGCGTCAACTGTTGTCTTGAGTCCAACTTCCTGCTGCTTTTTACAGAATTGAACTATGATGAGGGATGTTGATGATGTTAATTGAAAATTGATAATGATTATTACTGCTATATTACTACTATAAATAGGGTTTATTGCTAAATATAGGGGTTTAGTTTATGAAAATGATCATCAGTAAAGGTAATGCTATTTTGACTATGATTGGAAAATAATGATGGTGGAATGTTTTAAAGCTAAATAAAAATATTCTCTGTTGCGCATACATACATACATATATATGTATGTTCATACATGTATTTCACTTAATATTACTTTTGGACATTATTCAATAAACGTAGTCCACTTCAGTACTCAAGATTTAATTATAAAACTTTTCTCAGCTCCGATTGGGTGTTCTTGATCGTTATCTTGGGCGCTCGACGTTGCCAGATATTTCGCTCATTGTTGTTGCTGTTGCTAGGGCTACTCGGTGTGCACCGACTACTATATGTAATTACACACATATAGTAAGTGTAGTTGTAAGCAACAAGTACTTGCTCTTAGGTACTTACTAAATATGCCAATTTATGGGCACCGCCTATTGCCCCTCTACCCCTCTCGTTCCATCTTTCTGTTGCTCTTTGCTCACGCCATTTGCTTGCGCCGAGGTGCAATTACGACGTCGCTTCGTTGCAATTTCTTCTATGTGCGCGTAGCTGCAGCTATCGCCGCTTCTGCCGGCTCCCTCTCTCTCTCTCTCTCTCTCTCTCTCGCTCGCTTTGACTATCTCAAGCTCTCTGTGTATATATATAGTGTCTATAAGTGTGTATGTGGTTCCTCCGCCAAGATGTTTGCGTGGAAAATTGTGTGCGCCCAACCCCCGCTGCGCACATTTGAAAAGTGCATCTCCGATCCGCTCCGCTCGGCGGTAGGTGGGGCTGCCGAGCCTATGGAGCCTAGTTTGACTGCTTGGAAAAACTTTTGCTTCGTCTATTAGCAGGGGCCAGCGGCTCACCTAGGCGAGTACAGAGAGCGCAGACAGCATAGACCAACGACCGAACTGGTGTTCGTCTATTGCCCGAAGAAAAATCCTGTCCACGCTTTCCCCCAAATAGGCAACAGCCGATAGCCTAGGAGCCCCCACTCCACAGTGCTTCCATAAGCTACTCACATGGAGTTCGCTTACCTGCCCGCACCCACACACACACACACACACACACACACACACACACGCATTCATAACTTTGCTCAATCGCACTCACACTCACACACAGTCGCACGCGTACCGATGAAAAATGGTTGAAAAAAAGTTTGAAAAAAAACGTTGTATGATTTTTCTTCGCCAATATTTTGTAACAGAGCCGCAGCATTGAGCAAAGGCGGGCCCCGACATTTGTAACAAAAATGCACACAGTCCGAAAGAGAGCAACACACAGTCACTCACTCACACATACACACAGAGGTGCGCGCGTGCATCAACACAACTCAATTTGTTTCTTTTTATTTCTTACTATGCGGCCGCTCCAACGGTTCCCCTGCGCAATGCTCAATGCACATGGGCCCACTGTTGTTGTTATTGTTGGCTGCACTCGGCTGCTCGCAGCTGAGCCAATTGGCAGTCGGCGCTTGTTTCTGTGCCTATGTGTGTGTGCGAGTGTGTGTATTTCTGTTTGTACATTGCAGCTCGTTTTTTGTGCGAGAGCGAGAGCAAGATAGAGAGAGAAAGAGCGGAGCAGCAAGTGAGTGGGCACAACACAATGCAATTAAACATTGCCAGCCTTACAGTGACTCAAAAGCAAATCAAACTGCAATAAATTTTGTTAATGTACTTATTCAAAATAAGGAAATGTAACATTGAATTTATTTGTCAAATTGGTATATATAACTCTTGCTGCATATTAGAAAAAACATTGCCATGGGCTTGTGTTTAGGTTATTTCGCTCGCAGCAAATGGAACTGACCCACTGTACTCAGGCGCTTGCATTCTCCTTTGCTCAACACACACACATGCAGAGCCCCACTGCAGTTGCGAAGAGCAGGAGAGGGAGCTGCATTTCGAGATAAGAGTGGCGACGCAATGCACTTTTTGGAGCTGAATACACACACACGCACAGGCAGCATCTCGCTGCCCCCATCACACACACATCGAAGGAGACGTAGGCATTGACAGCGGCGTGCAGCAAATTGAGCACAATGACGTCGCAGCCCCCATCGAGAGATGTTCGCGTTGAGTTGTTGTTGCTTGTTGAGTGCAGTTCGACTCTGCCCGCCAGGCGGCTGCACCTGCCCCGCCCAAATCTCGCTTGCTCGCTCTCTCTCATTCTCTCTAACACTCACACATGTAAGCGAGTATAAAATCCGTTTTGGTTTTGCTGGAATACCCTGTAGTCGCATAAATTGGCAGAAGGTGGGCTAGCAAGCTAATGCAACTGGCATATGTTACTAGGAAAATCAATGAATATAATAATAATGCAATTGATGCATATTTGTGTGATAATGAAATATTGCTTATAGAATCATTCTGCATCCCACGTTAGCTAGGCAAGTGCACTTCTCAACAACTTACAGGGTATCTCCCAGTCCGCCACGCTCAACTCGTGCATTCGCACTTGTTGCTTTTGCCAAAGTGCAACGTGGCTACGAGTTCTGGGCTCCTTTTCCCAATGTAACACAACCATGCACCATGCGAGCGACGACTGCCCCAGGGCTGCCATTAGCATTACGACAGCGATTACGTGGATATGGTTATCATGTGTGTGGATAGGGTGAACGGCGCTTTACAGTTTTACAGCAAGCACGTGAACGTCCTCGGAACGAACCGTGGCGTAAGACCCAAGAAATGTGGCTCCATTACACGTTTCAGCGCCAGCCAGCGAGCGTGTGGGTAACTTTTTATTATATGTATATTGGGGCTGGTTGAGTGGGGCGTTGCTCCTTTTTACGGCCGTGGCCACACAACTCCTGCTCTGTGCGGCTGCTTCGTCATCGTCGGCGCCGCCGTCGCCAGCTGCGTGCACAAAAGTAACAAAATGTACTGAATGTCAACAGGCTCGCAGCAGTGAGCAGAGCGTCGATTTTACATTACAATCGCTGTACAATCGACGCTCGGTCTCTGTACACGCTCATTGCGCGCTCGCTTGCTCTGCCCCCTCCAGCCGAGCAACCAACCAGCCAGCCAGGCATCTGCCACTCCTCGCACGACACTCTGTGTTCTCTCTGTCTCTCTCTCTCTCTCTAAGAGTGTGTGTGCTTGTGTGTATTCGCCGCGTTACTTGCGCGCGTGCTCCCCACTCCACCCAAACCGCACACAGATAAGTAATAACGGCTCCACTCTCCACTCTGCCGCTGCCGACGTCAACGTCCACGTCAACGTCAACGCAATTTGCCTTCATTTTTATTTCTTCTTCTCGCTATGTACTTTTGTTCTTGCTTCGCCCCCTGTTGGCGGTGCCTTTGCTCTCGTTTGCTTTATCACTCACGACCGCTGCTTTAAAGCCGATGCTCATCGTGCGCTCACACATGCACATGCACACATATACTCACACTCATACCCACACATACGCAAATGCACTTCACTGAGCCGCAAAATTGCAAATGCATTGCCTACACTCAGTCGACGTTTGATTGCCGTCGCAGTCGCTTGGACAAAAGTGCACTGCAGCATATACGTATATAAAATGCATCGTATATATAGATAGCATCTACTTAATTAAATATACCCGAATATAGTCTGTTATTATTTTTGTTTAACATTTATTTAAATACTTAACTGTGGGAGGAAAATGTTGTATATTTGTATTTAAAAACTGTAGGAAAGTGTTGCACATGATATGTTGCTGATATGTAATAAACATATGTAATACACATATGTATTTCTCATAGAGATATATTCCATCTCATAGAACTTAGCCTAGAAAATGTTAAGGATTGCCCCTGTGGAAGCAATCGCTGATATGTATCGGTCTAGGAATTACAATTATGCTAGAATTCTGCTATATATGTAGATATATATGTATATACTAACTTAAAGTAAAATGTGTGCGATTCAATTGATATGTTTGGTTTCATTCGGTCACTTGCCATACAACAACGCATAGTTATCCTGCCAACAAAATTGAGAGTGCTTCTCCTGCTGCATTGTGATACTCTTCACTCAACAGGTAAGCAAGCACTGATCAGAAATGTAAACAAAAGTTGCATGCATACACACATACATAAATACATTTGAGAAAGCGATTACAAATAAACGAGAACAGAGCTGCGAAGTGAGTGGGAGTTGCTATCTCCTTCCATCGCATTAGGCTTAGGCACATACACATGCATGAAGCATTTGAAAATAAGTTAGAGCAGATTTGTGTAAGAGAAAGTTGCTGTCTCCCTCGAGCGCACTTGGCTTTGATCAACACTTAAAAGTGAGCGTAAACGCAATTGTGTAGTGAGACGGCATGAGCAAAAGGGAGCTGCCATCTCCTTCGAGCGCACTAGGCGTAAGACACACACATGCATACAAACATGTGCGTAAGCAATTGAGAGTAAAAATATAATTGTGTAAGTGACAGCTGCTATCTCCCTCAATCGCACACAAGACTCTCAGCCTCCATTAATCGCCGAGAGCCAATACGAATACGAAGTCGAGTTGGTATTGCAATCTGTAGCATAGAAGATTTCGTTGCTTTTGTTGTATGGGGACCGTTCTGGTAAGTGTTCACAAAGTTTCGTCATTTGTTGGATTTCGTCTTAACCATATATATATATAACATAATACTTATCACAGCTGAGAATGGAACCCAGTGCCACTAGAACTCGTTCGCTTTGGCTGACTGTGCGACAGGCGCTGCGCAGGCCTCCTTGAAATTGGTCGCATTCAATGGCCCGAAATAGTCCTCGTGCAGGAATCGTATGATGTTCTCGATGGGACACAGATCGGCCTTGTTGCCGCGACTGTCCCGAGTCACGCGCAGACTTTTGCCACCTTCGCAGAAATCGATCTGCTGCGTCACATCGCGCCCATTGTAGACGACACGGAAATAATAATCCGTATGGGCATCGGAGCGATAGACCTCAAAGGCCAAGCGTGATGCGTACGAGATCGTCTTTCCGTCACGATTGCTAATTATTCCCAGGGCAGCCGTCAGATACTGCATGGTGCAGTCGTGGCCAGAGTAGAGTACGAACTTGGTCCGATCCCCCGATATCATCTTTAGCATATATCCAACTATATGACGGATCATGCCGTACGCCCGGAGCAGGCCCGCTCGCTTGTAGTAGATGTGCTGGGCAGTGCGCAGAGAGAGCTCGTCGGCGAAGGACATAAGTGCATCCACTTGGGAGGGCTCCACGCAGCCGCCATTGGAGGCAGCTGCCTCGTCCTCCTCCTCCAGCTGCTGCTGCTGCTCCAGCTCCGCTGCTGCCGCTGCTCCTCCTGGCATAAGATTCGCCACATTCGCCTCGTCCTGGTCGATGTTGATGACGTCCACCAGCTCGGGATTGTGGGCTAGGGTGCTGGCAGTCCGGCTGCCATTGCGCCTGCGACACGGCAAGGCGGCGTCATGGCAGAGCACAGTCAGCATGGCATCCACCACCTCGAAGGGATTCGTCACGCCCCCCTCGTTAGCTGTGTGCTGTATCAGCGTCCCGCCGATCCACTGCATCACGGCCAGCACATCGGAGCGCTTCACCAGCTGCCTGTCCGCCAGCTGCATCAGCCGCTTGCGCAGCACCAGCGACTGGCCGCACGAGCAGTCCCCAAAGCAGAAGGCCATGCTGTGCGACTCCCTCACGTTCAGCGCCAGCCACTTGTCCGCCGGCAGCAGGGCGAAGAGCAAGGCCAGCGCCGACTGAAAGGTGCGGCGATAGCGCGTCGTGAAGACCACCACCTCGTCCGAGTTGAGCAGCGTGTGGGGCGTCGTGTCCACGCCCACTCTGAGGGCATTCGGCTTGAGCAGCAGGCCCAGCGGATGGGCGTAGATCTGATGCATGATGTCGCCTACGTGCAGCAACTGGGCAATGCCTCTGCGGGATTAGAAAGGCGTTTTAAAAGATGTATTTTTACTGGGAAGAGGATAGATTGACTATGTATCCATATAGAAATCGTAGGAGTCATTCTCTGTTCAGGTTGCCATGGTTTACAAGGGATCACCTGCTCGATCTTTAGAGTATGAATTATATGAGAAGCGGATCCTTTAGAGAATGAATTCACTTCCCGATCCATTACCTATAGAACAGGGAATCTTCTGTACCCGTCAATCCTCTCCAGCAACTTACTTGTATGTCAGCTGACCCAACGGACAGCCTCGTTCCGTGGCGGGCAGCAGGGGAAAGCCATGGAATGGACCCACTTTGCTCCAGTACAAATGATTCGAGCCGGACGCAGAGCTGCTCGAGTTTTGCAGAAAGCTGCGATATCTGCGAATGAAATCGATACAATTGAAACTGGTTACTTCTAGTTGGAATATAATTATGTATCTGCTCACTTGTTGACCAGGCTGTCTCCATCGGCCGGCACGCCACAATTGATGCCGTTGGCATGCACGTGGGACATGGCACCACGGTCGCCATGTCGTATGACCAGGAGCACTCCCTGTAGCTTCCAACCCTCCAGTATGCCGCCATCGTCCAGGCGCGTTAGCTGACTGAGCGGCGCGCAGCGTTCACGATATTTGGCAAAACGCTGAGCACTGCTTGCGGCGTCCTTACCACCAGCTCCTGGAGCAAGTCCCGAGCTGGCAGTGCCCGTGCCATAGCCACCGCCCGGATTGCCAAGACGTTCCACGTTGCCCATATAGCGATACATGCCTGGAAAAAGAGATTGGAATCGAATTGTTTAAGCTGAATGCGGAAGAAGAGGAAGCTCATTCATGCTCCAAGTGGAATCTGATAGAAGGCTAGCTGGGTCTCACACCTCTAGCTGCCGTCTAATCTAAAAGCTAGTTGCGAGCAGTCTGAAAGCTGGCGCTATACCATCAAGAGTAGCTGGTCTACCTGTGCTTGAACTTACCTGCAATTAGCAGAAATATCCAGATGCTGAGCAACATGTAGCAATAGAAGGTGCGATGCTGCGTGGTTAAACGCGTCAGCTCCTTGAGCAGCAGCCTCATGATGCCGAGCAATCAAATCGACCATACATAAGTCTCTCTCTTTCTCTCTCTCTTGCACTGGCTGTCTCGCTCTATTGCTGGGCACACTGGAGGGTTTTCCTTTCTTAATGTCCTTTACAATTTTTACTATAAGCAATTTCCAATTAAATATATTTTACAATTTAAGAAAAAAACAATGCTCGTGGTGTTTCGCTTCGGCCAACTGTCAAACAATTACGTGGAGCGTAACCAAAGGAAGAGGCATGCGCAATGGCTATCGCTAAAGGCCAACAGCTGATGCAGTGGTGGAGCAGCGTTAGTGATTGAACCACCACAGTGATGTCTACGAGTGACGGACAGTTGTCTGAAAACAGTAATATGAATAAAGTTTGGTTTTTCGTTTAATAACAAGGCCAGGCCTAATTAAAGGTTTCACAAATATTTCAAATACATTTTTGGTTAAATATGCATGACAAAATTTTGTTTTAATAACCAGCAGAGCTTCTCTTGCTTGGCCTTACAAATGGGTTAGAATATGAATATGTTATGTATTCGATCAGAGATCATATAATATATATAAATTTTGTTTATGGCCAGCAAACATGACCAGCAGAGGTTTTACTGCGTGGCCTTACAAAGGGTTAAAATAGGTTTAGTTATGTATGGTTCATGTATTTGATCGGAGATCATATATAAATATTTGATGAGACTCCCTCTCTCCCTTGCGCTCTATTCCTGCGTAGCAGTTAGAGCCAAGACAGTGAAGCGCATGTCATCCGGATCACGGGCCATGAACTCCTTGCAGACCCTAGCAGCATCTGGCAAGAATGTCTCATCCGAGGTCTTGCCGTGATTGATGGGATACGACTTGCGTCCATCTAGCTCATAGAGTGTGTTGTCGATATTGACGAGTGAAATGAAGTGATGGATGACCGTGTCGTAGTTGCCAGCATCGGTTTGGCCCTCCTGCGCCAACATTTGATGATCCTCGGTGAAGGCCTTGTCCTTCTCCAAAGCCTGACCGCGCTCATCGGGCGACATATTGGCGCAGCTCTTCAAAAAGTTCTTTAGGACGCCATCGCCAATGTCAATACTAAGAGAGAGATACATATATGTAGTTTACATAGACTTGTGAGATGATATCATTGGGCACCCACTCCTTGTTGTTGGCCACGCTGTGGATGAGGGCAACGGTGCCGCAGGCATTGTGTGTAAATTGACGCATATAAAAGAGATCAGCTGGGGTCTTCAGAGGTTCAGCTGCCGACTTGATGCGCTCATGCTCCTCGGCACGGTGCTTTTCATACTACGAAGACTAGACATCAGTAAATGTAAATCAACAATTGTAACTCGAACTAACTGCATCGCTGATGGGGAACAGCAAAATAAGAGCCTTCACGGGCTGGGGCAGCATTGCCAATAACTCCTCATCCAGGCCGATGACGTCAGTGATTGACCAGGATGGCGACACACCCAGCTTGTGTATGTATTTGGTCAGTACCTGGGAATGGGTTACGAGCAATCAACATGGCGTCTCTTTCAATATGACAAATTGCAAATCAAATTCACAGAAGTGCGTCGTAACGGCAGATGGCAAATGCAAATAATTTCTCAACAGAGTAAAGTTAGTTTATTACCTCTGGGTTGGATTCCAATGGTGTCCAGGTCGACATTTTGTTTTCAAGAAAATTTTATTTAGTTGTAGCGCTTTACTTAGTTACTTCGACTGAATGTGTTTTGGAAATGTCTGAAAATGATTACCGGCACTTTTTTGACACTTTGAGTAAGTGTGTGCGTGAGCTTTCAGGCGCCGATAGCTATCGATTGTTGGGGTAGTCTTTAGCACGAACACGGCACGGAACCAGTCAGACAGCAGCTGATATTTAATATGTGCGATATGTACTCGCCAAATTTTGTAATCGCTAGCTATCTCATCGGCTAGTCGATAGATGTCAGCTGGTTGGCTTATTGTTTATTTCTATTAGCTTTCCTTAAATTCTGGGCATGTTTTTCTTTGATTCAAAAATTAATTGGTTTGCTCAAATTCTTTGCAATATAAATGGACCAATTGAATAAGTCTTTAACGCCAGTGCGTTGTAAGTAATTAGAACACAATAAAAGAAGCACATACAGATATACTGATTTCCTCTCTGTTCTTTAGTTGTTGACAGCCAGCGCGTGCAGTCACCGGCGATTAAGCACGACGCCAACTTGGCCAGCTGTAAGGCTAAGCTGCAAGGGCTGGTAGCTAACCTGCAGGCTAATTATGCCAAATGGCAAATGGCTCAACAGCGGGGCACGTCCCTCTGCTACGCGATTGAGGCGCGAAAGACGCGTTGCTACGATAATGCAGATAACGGCTATTTTCCAGAGGATCTGCACATGAGCTGCGACAAATTGGCCATTATTACGTCGATATTTGTTGATATATTTACAAACACGCGTGAGATTTTGCGACAACTGCGTGGATTGACTTTGCTAGCGGGCATTACATCGAATGTGATATTTTATAGAACTTGGAAGTTGACAGAGTATGTATCCTTCACCGAGGAACTGGTAAAGCGTTACAGACAGGAATCGATGGTAAAACAGCATGTGATGCGTAAGTGGAGCTAAATTCTGAAACGTACTCCAACCAATAGCACTATCACTACACTAGACACCACAAGCCTTAGCTCAACTTTGCATTTTTGCTCTCCTCTTGCTCTCTTCGAGTAACGGGATCTACCAGACAGAAATCCAATGCAACTGAGCGAGCTAGCTATTATTAGCAGACCCTTCATGTCTTATAACTATAAAACTATTAGTTATATCACAAAACTCATACATATTTTGTATTTGGTTCTAGGTAATATAGCCCACTCCACAAGTAGAGCTCAACTGATTGCCCATACTACGAAGTGGGAGTTTCCAGAGCATGTCGATGCCTATGTGAATTTGGTGTTTCTGCTGCTTGCCGAAGAGGTTAAACCATAGAACAACAGTAAATGTATGATAATTTGTAAACTAAATATTAGTAAATCTGAAAATGTTATTTTGTACATTAAATAATGAATATATTGTAACATGATTTTTTAATACGTATGATCTACTTAAAAAGCAATATGGTTTATACTTCTTTATTATCATTCGAATTGCAAATTACTTGAATACTTAATTAATGATGAATATAAGACAGAAGTCTGTTTGTCTGTCCAACCTCGGATCACACTATATTTCTATATATATGTTGTAAGTAAATGTAATAGTATATATACTAAATAGCGCAATTATATGCTAAGAGATTCCAAAGTCTTTGAATGGGGCATGCTTGTTAAAGAAAGCATTTGTATATAACTAAAATTGGGAACATGAATGGTTTTTCGTTTCAAATGGAATAACCTTACAAACTACAAACTTCGAGCACAGATAATACCCTGTAAAATACAAAATGCATCTCATGTAATCTATATGCGAGGCAGTTCTGATAACAAGATCTACAAACGATTCTATATATCTAAAATATGGAATGTCTTAAATCTTAACTGAAATATTGTCTAGGTTTGGGCTGTGACTGCGTTTCGTCCACCACCAGAACCAGGCGCCAGCCGTGCCCAAAGCAATTGCCGTAAAGTATAGAAGCTTTAGATTACGCTATATAGTGAATGTATATATGAATATGATTAATATTGTATAAGATTTGCACACTTTTGAATCGCTCACCTCCTTGGAGGGTGAGTCCCTCGCCTGTTCCTCAATTTGTTTGCGACTTTCAGAAATCTGTAGCTGCTGCAGTTTACGTAGATCCTTGTTTAGCTCGTCCGCAATTGTTTGCACACTGTTCAAGGCCTCCAGTGCAAAGCGACTTGCATAGCGTTTGTCGCCCACTATCAAATCCTCTGGTGGCAGCACCTGCAATTTGTAATTCGTGGCTGCCAAGGACGAGCGCAGGTACATTAGATGATTAGCCGCATTGCCAACAATTTGATTATTATATTTTTGAGCGGCCTTCGATTGGCATAAGGATTCATAACTGGGATCCTGATTCGGCAGCACTGCAAACATTTTGAGACACTCTTCGCGCTCCTTTTTCGTAGAAAACCCAAACATCTCCAGGTCTTCATCGGAGAGTGAGGCCAAGTCGCGAAAGCTAATGTGATCCTCGAGAAGTTTGTCCACATGATTGGCGTTTACGCAATCCTGTTTGGATTTGGCAAATAGGGTCAATATGGCCTCTCGTTCCCTTTGGACGCTCGGTTTAGTTTTTCCCTGCATCCACGGTCGCTTTTCATAGCCCAGAAATGCACTATCTAAATCCTGCTGTTCGGTGTGTCGTTGAAACGCCTTACTAGCACCGAACTGCACCGCGGATGGGCCATTAACATCTAACAATGGTATATTGTCAGTGGACATCCTGTATAGTAATTAATCTCTTTCTTCCTTTTCGAGCAGAGTGGCGAAGTGTCGCTGTTCAAACCTATTAATATATCGATAGTGATGCCAAATGCTGAAGTAGCATATTAGCATATCGAGTTTGAGTATGAAATGTTATATCGATTAGTATTGTAAGCAAAGAAACGATGTTGTAGTAGCGATGAGAAAAATAAATGCAACAAAATATGTTATATTTCAATATACATACGTATCTTTTAATAATTATATATCTGGTATCAAATTGTAATATTTAAGAGACGTTAACAAACAAATCTTGTCTAACGAAGAGTACAAATAGACAAAGTTTTTTTTGGCATACTTGTTAGTAGTCTTCATATGTACCAATTGTGGTACTTGAAATCTGTTATACTTTGGTACAAATGCCTCAACGCATTTTTTAAATTTAAGGCCTTGTTTGTTTACCGGGAAGCAAACTAAAAGTGTAGCTGCTGATGGTATAATTTTATGGAAATTTGATTTTTCGTTTTAGCGAATATTCAATATTCTATTTAAAATGTGCATTTCTATAACAAAATTCGGTTATATAACAATTAAATTACAAATAACTTATTCTAGTTATCTTTTTTATCTGCACCTGGTCTTTGCCTGTATATTGGTGTGCTATCTGTTGCCGCTTCCTTTAGCTTTTGCAGGAACAGTGCCTTTTTTTGTTGGTCTGCATTCAGTGATCCGGATGCTTTAATGCGCTCCAACTTCTCGGCACTCGGCTCAGTGAGCAGCATTAGACCATATCCTATGCCGCCTGAGCCAAGCAGTAGCACTATGGACTTAACATAAGGATTGCTCGCCATCAGGAATCGGTAATTAGTAATCGGTATAGCAGTTTATTCGTTCTTGAATCCTTCCGCTGTGCTCCTCCAATATTTTGCGTCTGTTTCCCGCGCCTTAATGTCTCCAACAATTTCGCCAATTTTATAGTAATACTCAAGTGCGTAGGGATATTTTTCGTTAATGTACCGGCGGAAATCTGCAGGTAAACGTTTAGGCGGAAGCTTATGTAAAGCTAAATGTGGCACTTACCTCGGTCTGTGTTCATGCGGTAGTAGAGACCGTAGCTGGCAGCAAAACAGACTGCTTCCAGCACAAAGAGTGTCTTGGCGCTACCCTTGATGAATCTCCAAAGTGCAGGTTTCGGTGTCCTCGGCAACATTACAAACTAAAATAAATGTGAAACAATACACAAATAATAAAATACAATGCGGACAACTGCTTACAAAGCAAAATACAAATGTATCGAATCGAATTATATCGATGTACCAACATTGTCAAGGAAGCGATATGTACGCGGATAAGCGGCTGAGAAGATTTCGTCGAAATTTCTTTAAAATCTTGACTACAGTAATAGAAACATTTATGTTAAGTTAAAATAAAATTAGCGTTTTTGTTGATTCATTAATTGTAGAGACAATGTTTCTTCGATAATTCATTTTATTTTTTTATTTTTTAGGAGTATTTCAGCTAATGGCCGCTAGCAGTGACGTCACAGCTCATAACCAATCGCCCAATCTGTTTATCGTCACGTATTTTCGATAACTCTTCTGCTATCAATATCGGCATACCAGTACAATACGTAACAGACCACAACAGAAAAAAGTAAAATCTGAACGTGCGGCTTTCAACGCAACCGCAGCAGCATCAGCTACAAAGTAAAAACGGCAACGCGCTGTCTCGCGGAGCTATAAAAACAACGAGCCACAGTTCAGTTGCCACAAACGTTCACAAGCCGAGCAAGTGTCAACATCAGCGCGATATTCAATTACAACCGCAACAACAACGAAGTTAAACGCAGTTACCGGTACTTCGAATAACTGTAAATAAGAACAGATCAAAACTTGAACTTAAAAAAGAAAAACAATACCAAAATGCAGTCGATGGCAAAACAAACTCTGCGTGCAATGCCGCAGATGAGCAAACAAGGTGTGTGTGTGTTTGATTTTAGTGTGCTTAAATTGCAGCATATTTAATTTGTAATATTTGTCGTTAATTTTGAATAGTGAGTTACTTATCGACGAGCAGCGCCTGCAGAGCCGTCGTTGGTGGCAATGACAGCGTCGTCGAGATTAAGCCGCCGAAGACAACCTCTGAGAAATTTATCGCCTTCCAGAAGAAACTGCGTGCTAAAACGCCTCTAGGTAAATTGGATGAATTCTCACGTCATCCCTACCAGGAGAAGGAGCCACTAAAGCCATGGCCCAACCAGACAAATCCCTATACAGGCGAAATTGGCGGACCCGCTGGACCGGAGCCAACACGCTATGGTGATTGGGAGCGCAAAGGACGCGTCTCCGATTTCTAGTCCCAGTGGAACACAAATAATTGTTCCTTAGCACTTAGTTAGGTCTTT